ATTGTTGCTGTTTCTGCTGTTTTTCTTGTTGTCGTCGTCGTCATCATCATCATCGTCGTCGTCGTCATCGTAGTTGTTGTTGTTGTTGTTGTTGTTGTTGTTGTTGTTGTTGTTATTGATGATGTTATCGATATCGATATTGAAGATGATGTTATCGCTGTTGTTATTGATGTTGGGTTTTTTTCCGTTGTTGTCGATGACTTTATTGTTGTTGTTGTTGTTGATTTTGTTTGTGTAGCGCCTTTCACGATGTTATGGCAATATTGCCCTTTGGAAGAATTTTCCTTCTGTTGCTCTTAATAATTTTGCTATTCCCGTCAAAAGTCTTTTTACAACTTCGGGCTCTTTTGGATGCTGCTGTTAGTATCCATGGAGATGTTGATTCTATCATTGTTCCAGATTAAGAAGGCACCTATGTGGTTTATATTTATTGTTTACACTACAACGTATTTCATGACACGAGTCTCAGTTTTGTGCCCAAAAAAGGAATCTGATTCACCTACGTTCCTTTCAGGACAAACTTTAACCAAAGCATAAAAATAATGTGTCCGTCATTCACCAAGAAATCCGGGATTCACTTCTGACGTCCGCGCATGGCTATTTTGCTATGAGCTCTGTAGTATAAGCATACTCTGCAAAACCAGGGAGTAGAGGGAAGAGTAATATCACATTCAGGCCCCGCGTCTCCTACGAAGAAAAAGAGACAACACAATGACACCATTCTTTATCATTGCCTTTCTCGCCCTGGGTCAGGATATAGGCCATGAACAAACACTTTCCACCTTTCTCTATCCTGGGCTAGCCGCTTGATGTTATTCCATGTCTACCCACTTTTCTGTTCGTCTATTTCTGAGACTCTTCTCCAGGTTCCATGACGTCTCCTCTTTAATTTTTACACAGTGGATTCCAATCTAACACTTTTTTTGAATGACATCATTATGGCAGGGCATAACCTCAGTGTTCAGACCAGTACTGGCAGATGACCACCCAGCCTTGCAGACCTCTTCTGGACCTGTATCTGTATTTCTTGACCTAAAAATGTAGCCGTAGTTTACAACCACATCGACACAGTTTTAGATTAGATGGGAGGCCGGTTTCAACTCTGTCTGGGTCAAGCAAGAAGGAAAAGTATGCACAGTCCCAGCAGAAAGACTGAGATACTCACTGAAAAATCTCCTCTAAACGAACTGATGACTACATTGTTCTCATAGGACTACACTACGAGAAGAACGTTTCTCTGAAACTCTTCATTAATTATTACTTTATGCGAGTTTTGCTTGTAGTGCCCGTCAAAAAAGAAAAAAAAAGAAGAAAAGAAAATCCCCCTTTTCCCAACCCCTTCCAGTCTTGTGAAAGTAAAAGTAGATGGATGCTGCCACGGCGGTTGACCTTTGAGTCACGTGAGAGATCAAGGTCAGACGTAGAAGACGTTGTTTGTGATGATCTGTCTGCGGTTGATAGGCTGCAAGGGACGGATGTTTCCGCCATTTCCTGGGCTCAGTTTTTTGTTCAGGGAGATTTGCCGGAATTCGTTCAGCTGATAAGCAAAGAAAAGGGACAAGTGTAACAGGGGTAGTCAGTGTGTCTATCAAACAATTAAGCAAAATGAAAAGACAGTGTGATACAAGAACAGCTGAAGTGTCTGTTAAAGAAAGACAAAATTAACTCTGGAATATTATAAGAACAGTTGAAGTGACTACAAAATTAATGTGAACAGTGGTGATGGGTAGACCAAAATTTGGGTGGGGCTTCGGTTGCTTCCACTTTTTTACCATCAAATTTTAATAGCAAGCAATATAAGCCGAAAACAGTACTGCTTTATCACCTTTTTCTTCCATCTCTTTGTTCTAGATTAGATTCTTCTGGATGAAGAAGTTGCCCTAAAAGTGGAATCCGCGGGATTTATAACTGTTAAAGCTTAGCGGCACAAATACAAACATGCACACACAGCACTTCAAATATATTCCGTTTATGAACTGGATTAGGCCGTGTGGTCACAAAAAGTAGAACGCACCTAACAAAGGTCCAATGAGAGTGTAGGTATCTGTGTCACTGGGGGAAAGTGAGCCGTAAACTTTCACCTCATTGTCAGGGCTAGGAGAGCGTGTGCCCCAGTACAGTGTTCTTTTTTTTTCAGTTTTCAACCTTTTTACCTGAAGAATTTTATTAACAAAAGGGCGCGGGAACGGGCTCATCCTTTGCTGAGCCCTAAAGACATTAATTGATTGGCTGTTAGGTTACTACAGTTGTAAGCGGTGACAACAGTGATTGGATAAACGAATAAGCCGCCAAGTTGATCACCCTGTGTTTATTGCGTGTGATCATAACGGTTTCAACTGCTTATTTCGTTATTTAAGAAAGTTTCATTTACTTTGGGATATGA